TTTTTTTGGCTTTTTTTTTTTTTTTTTTAATGCAAACTTCCTAGGAAGGCGACACTTGAGAGGGCGTCTCACAGTGTGTTGACACTCGATGTTGTACCTGAACACCAGATCTATTGCCCTTTGGCAAAATTGAAAAATTCCAAGCAGTTCACCAAGCACCAATCCAATTTCCTGTTCACCAAGCACCAATCCAATTTCCTGTTCATCCAATAAAAGTTCATAAAACAACTAAGAAACAAGCTGCTCGCCCTTAATTGGGCAATCCCAGATAACCCTAAAAAAGATTCCAGGATGACATGCATAAATCGCGAAATGGTCCAATTCCTTTAGGACAACAAAAAAAATCCCACATCCATTGCCCTTCGGCAAAATTCCAAGCAGTTTCCCATGTGCCTGATCCAATTTCCTTTTAAATGAATAACCTGGGGGGGGGAAATCACAGATTCATTGCGCTCTGTCAAAATCCCAAGCAGTTCCAAGTGCCCATCCGATTTCCTTTCCAATGAATCGCACTCCACTACTCACCGAGTAAAATGAGAATGAATCTTTGGGCCTCACCTCGCTCCACTACTCTCCAAATTCTATCGATCCATTTTGGAGAGTGGAGCGTCACTCCACTTACCTCTCGATCGCTCCACTCTCTGAAAATCAGTCGGGAGTAGTCAGAGACGGCCCGTCATGAGGACTCCCGATTTTTTGAGAGTCCATCTCGATTTTTTGAGAGTCCGCAGCCTGCAGCACTCTCGAAAGTCAAGAGTCCTCTCCGGGACCCTAAACTCCCCAACGTGATATCGAGACAAGTTAGCTCTCCTTTTTCTTTTCTTTTCTTTTTTCGGCGTTTGGTTCTGAAAAAAGGGGGCTCGATTCATCTTTAAAAATCAAGAGTGAATTGAGTGCACTTAGACTCTCGATTTCGGGTGAAATTGAGGCCTCAGCCTCGCTCCGCTCACTCTCGATTGGGCCCTTTGGCTAGAACATGGAAATATGCACTGCAAATTTTTTGTCTTTTGCGCATGTGATGAGTAGTGGAGCGAGGCTCAAGGTTTCACTCAATAGCCTGAAAAAGAAAATAGGACAAGGGAAAAGCGATGGGGATTTCATAGCGCACCCCCTTGGGCTGATTATTGCAGACACTGCCTGTCCACCACCCAAGGGGTCCATGGTTGCAGTATGCTGATAGCAGGGCCTTGGGGGAGGGGTGTTTGCGTGGTTGGCCTTGGGGTGGTCCGATGAGTGTGTGTGTGTGTGGGTGGGTGGGTGGGTGTGGGTGTGTGAGTGAGTGTGGGTTCTGTGTAGTGTGTGGTCCTATGATCTCTGGGTCATGTCTCATGTACTCACCATGGGCAGGGTAGAGGAGGTAGGTTGGGTAGAGGTCTTAGATGTAGATTAGGTTAGGTAGGAATTTGTGTAGAGATTGTGGACCTGTCTGTACACCGCCTCTTTCGTACTCACTGCTCTGTGGATGTGTCATGGGTGTGTCATGGGTGTGTCATGGGTGTGTCATGGGTGTGTCATGGGTGTGTCTGGGTACTGTGGTAGTTTCCCGGCCTCATGGTACACCTGGCAGAGTCCATACTTACATTGTACAATCCTGGTTCCAGTCTGGTTCCAATCTCTACACCCCCTTGAGTAGTAGTAAGGGTTGGGTGTTAGGCATATACAATTCCCAAGGGCGGGCCTCATGTCTACCTTACGATGCTTGCGGGCTGGGCTTCATCCGGGCTGGTACCTGTCTGCGTTCCCATTGAGGGGGTCAATTGGGGTGTGAATCTTGGGAAGGGTCTCTGGGTAGGGGTCTCATCTTAGGCAGGGGAGGGTGGGTCGTCGCATTGATAGTAGAAGGGTGGTAGACACCCATAGAGTCTGCTAGATGTGATACAGGTGGGTAATCCCACATATCCGTGACCCCTCCTGTATCCGGGTCGTCCTCGAGAATTCGGGGTGTCCCTATGGTAGCGCCCAGGGGAGACACTCATCTGAGACCCTCGGAAGGCGCGGGTTGGTGTAGGTCTAGGTCTAGAGACAGGTCTGGGTCGCACCGCTGTAGGGCTCGACTTGCGATCTGATTAAGATAACGAAAAAAGAGTTCATGAATGATGCGTCCTGGAGGAGACTGTCCTTGGGGCTGTCACAGGCCATCCGATCTCCCCACTGGTTGATTACAACGACAGGCACCCCCCGAGGCCTAGCATCCAGCCTCTACTACAATCTGGACTTTTCTTTATTAAAAAAAAAAGAAAAAAAAAAGCGATGGGGAATATGGGACCCATCCCATGTGGCTGAATGGTACAACGATGAACTGTTCATAAACAAACCTCAGTTTTCAGACTTGAGGCCACTGCGCTCTTTAGAAAAATGGGGGGGGGAGAGAGGGGAATATGGGAAACGAGGGCTCTTTTGTGAAACTAAGAGGGAAACACATCACCTTACACCAAAATAAAAACCAAAATCCAAATCTGAAATCACAAGGACTTGGGAGAAGACCGATTGAACGTCCACAGTTTAGCCAAATTCACAAAACCTTACCACCCACAAAAAATGAAAAAAGGGGGGGCGGGGGGGGGGGGGGGCTATTCCCAAAATTTCAGCAGGGAGTTTACTAATCCATCCACCGCCTCCACGCCTCATACCCTGTTTTCACTTTTTTCTTTTCTACCTTTTTCCCCCATGTCCTTTCCATGGCTGGAGGGCTCCTAGGAACCAACCTCCCAGTGGACAGAAAGCCAGCAAAAGTGGTCAGCAAAACCCTAGCGCTTAACCCCTGCTCTCTAACCCTAACCCCCAAAACCTTAAACCTTCACCCCTAACTTTGACCACTCCACCAAATCAGCCTTAGTTTCTAACCTCGATCCCCCCAAACCCCTTAACCTCTGAGCCTTAACACCTACCTTAGACCTACCCCTGAACCCTGATCCCCCAAAACCCTTACTCCCCAAAACCCCGACCTTTACACCCTAACCCTTAACACCATACTGGTAGCCGGAGGTTCAGACAGGTTCGGCTAACCCTAGCGTTTGCTCTCTTTTTTTTTTTTTTAACATTGTCGTACTGGTAGCCGGAGGTTCGGACAGGTTCGGCTAACCGGTCATTCCAGGCTCGGCCTCGACAGCTGAGAAAGGTACTGCTGGTTTAAGGTTGGGTTTAAGGTTGAGTTTAAGATCGTGTTTAAGGTTGGGTCATTAACCACGCCCAGTGTATGGGACCAAAACCCTATAGCCTACTAAGCCCAGCACCAAACCCTAAACCCTAGTAACTAGTAGTAAGGCAAGTTTATTTACATCCTTTTCTTTTTTTTCTTTTTTTCAGACAGCAGATTTTTCTGTTGGTCAAGCAAGATTTGGGAACACTTGACTAATGTTAGCCACCCTTAAAAAAACTTTAAAATATAAATTAAATAAATAAAAGAAGGCACTTCTGATGACTCCACAGGACTCCATCCACCGGGGCTAGTACAGGTCTTAAACCACCAGTATTTGGCCCAGCTATTGGCCGCGGAATGAAATAGAGTAGAAAACTTTCGAGTCGGATGAATTTGGGCGCTCCTGTAGTGTGGCCGTACGTTTCCTAAAATTGTGGTTTGTTAACGGGCACGACTTTAGGAAGTACTGGTGGTTTAAACCGCTAGTATGTGTGGTGTACATGCACTTTAATACCAGGCCTGCACTAAAATGAGGGCTAATGACTACACCTGCGCCGAGCTAGGGCTAAAAACCAGGCCTCGGTTAACCGGGGCTAAAAGAACCAGGTCTGGGCTAAACCAGCCTTGGGTTAACCAGGGCTAAAGACCCGGACTGCGCTAAAGGTCTGCGCTGGACTTGGCCATGCCTAAGGACCAGGTCTAAAGACCAGGCCCAGGCTACACCAGGTCTTGTTGGGACTAAGCAGTATCCAACCGAATTCCTTAAAGCTCTTACGATCGCCTCGCCACTGAGTCTAGGACTGTTGATTTCACTACTGAAGATGATCGACTTGAGAGATCAGTACCGCTGAAGTTTGTCGACATCGAAAAAGACCGAAGTTCAAAAATATAAAATAGTTTCAAATTTTACAAAGACACGAAGCTAGAATCCAGGCAGGTCGAGTCCCATGAGGCCACCCTAGGCAACCCTAGATTCTTCACAGCTGAGTCTGTGTTCTTCGGGATGCTTTATATTTTAACTGGCCCTTAATGTTAATGGGGGCTGACCTGCCTAGGCAGCCCGCAGCAGGTGTTAATGGGGGCTGACCTGCCTAGGCAGCCCGCAGCAGGTGTTAATGGGGGCTGACCTGCCTAGGCATCCCGCAGCAGGTGAGCCGGGCGTTTCCAATATCGCAGGGGGAAAAAAAAACATGTCCAAGTCAGGTGTCGTGGCTTAAACTGCATATCATAGCTTTCAAGAGATAGCAGAGTCAGATGAGTGGCGGAATTCACAGACATGACATCGCTGATGAGCTCTGCTATGGCAGGCTTGATGGTGGTGGTGGGGATTGGTGGAGGAGAAGGAGAGGGAGAGGGAGGTGCTTGGAGGGGTAGAAAACCACAAGGTTGGGCATCAGATGCAAGAAGAAAACGAATGGAGACATATACTTTTTTATGAGAGGATTCCCTTGGGATTGAACGGAGAATCTGGGAAAGAAAGAGGGGGAGGGCGAGGCATAGGAGACGAGTAGCAGATGCTAACCTCCACATCATACAGGGCCACCAACTCCTTTGTCATCCGGCAAATCTCTGCAGAAAGCAAGAAACCACAAACTCTAGAAACTAAGTTAAAAAACACAAATACAAGGGAGTTCCAAAATACTAACCCTACACATCAAAAACAGAAAACATCAAAAATATATTTGCTATGGCAGAGCAATTAGGAATAGGAGGGAGTTCAGCAAACATCAAAAACAGAAAATAATTCAACAGAAATATCTTTGCAAAAGCATATCCCAGCCAAATGTTAGTTGAAATAATTTTTGCATCACCTTGGCACATACTTCTTCTCTCAGAACTTTGTGATTTTTCTTTACCCGTGGATTTTGCGGTGCACTGTTGTGGTGTGCAATGTGCCCGGCTAGTATGGTTCAAGGTAATAAGAAGGAAAATTGTCAAAATTGTCACCTTGACAAACCATTTGAAGTGGCTATTTACTATTTAGTAATCACACATGCTTGCAGGTGTGAGTGACTTTAGTTGATAAACACAGAGGCAACTATGCAGACTCAGAGAGTGTGTGTGTGAGAGAGAGAGAGAGAGGAGGAGGGGGGGGGAGGGAGGGGGAGAGAGAGAGAGAGCTTTGAACAGAAGTATCTCACACTTGAAATAGATTGCTTGAGCACATAGAGCAACACCCCCCGCAGGTGTCACTTACACAGTTCCCATGGGGCTTGTTCAGCTTCACACTCTCCTCATGGGAGAGAGCATATATATGGTAGGGTGCCCTTGAAGGCTGTGAAGGGTCCCGTCACGTCAGTATCGGATTTCAAAAAAAAAAATCAAGCAGCAGTCTGTAACCAGTCTAGTATTCTTGTTGAAAGAATACCACGTAACAACGGTAACATCAGCATCAACTTCACTCTCCTTCATCATCATCTTCTTCTTCTTCATTGTCGTCTTCTTCGTCATCGTCATCTTCTTCTTCTTATATTTTACAAGCTTGACATGTCTGTGCAGGTGCTGTGATGCTCTCTTTGGAAGCATAGATGGTGAGCGATTGGCCTCGCTTTTACAGATTCATTTAAAAATCTTTCTTCTTCCGTCTCTTCCTCCTCCTCCAGTTCTTCTTCTTCTTACTCTTATGTTGGTGCAAGATGTGTGGAACCAGAAGAAATGATTACTCTGATGATGAGCAGTAATGAATGAGGTGTTCGTACGGCAAGTCATTCCCCATGCAGTCAAGGTTATAGATGCCCAACAGCGAACAGGTATGTGCGATGAGTCGATGACATAAAAGGGAGGGAGGGGCTGAAAATAAAGAAACGCCAGGAGGGGAAAAAAATAGAAAAGACAGGTCAGGAGGGGGGGAGATAAAACAGAAAGGGCAGTAGGGTTATCGTTCACAAGGCAGGGACGCGGTCAGCCATCAATCGAAGTCGAAAGCAAACCAGGAAAAAAAAAAAAAAATGCAATCGAAGTCAAGAGCACATCAGCAAAAAAAAAAGAAGTAAGAAACATCCAAAGCCAAAAGCAAACCCAAGTCAAAAGCAAACCACCTTCAAAAGCAGACAAAAGTAAAAACAAATACAAAGTCGAAACCAGACCAAAGCCAAAAACAAAACCGAACTCAAAGAACTGAACAAAATCAAAAGCAAACCAGCTTCAAAAAGTAAAAGCAAAGTCAAAAGCAAACCCGAGTCAAAAGCAAGCGAAGGGAACGGGCTTGGAAGGATCGGCGGGGAAAGAAGACTCTGTCGGGCTGGACTTTAGTTCGACTTTCTGTGGGGGGGGAAAGAAAAGAAAAAAAAAGAACGAAAGTAAATCAAAGTCAAAAGCAAATAAAAGTCAAGGCACCCACTTGGAATGATCTCAATGCCACACACTTTTGAGAAGCTTGTCTGAAGAAGAAGGGTGGCAAAAACCGGCCGTCCTGAACCACAGCCAAGGTCATAGAAGGTCAATCCACCATGGCTGCCACAGTCCTTGGCACTGTCGGCAGGCACCAGCTTGGACGACAAAAGGAGGGGCACATACTTTTCCAACAAGCTAGCAAATGCAATGAAGCTGATCTGCCAAAAATCATTGTCGCCGGACACAATGTAGGCACACAATCAACAGTCAGCTACTACTGTGAAAAATTACACAAAACACAGGAAACAAAAGAAGAAGAGGAAGAAGAAGAAGATGAAGAAGAAGAAGAAGAAGAAGAAGAAGAAGAAGAAGAAGAAGAAGAAGAAGAAGAAGAAGAAGAAGAAGAAGAAGAAGAAGACGAAGACGAAGGGGAGGACGAAGGGGAGGACGAAGAAGACGAAGAAGACGAAGAAGACGAAGAAGACGAAGAAGACGAAGAAGACGACGACGACGAAGAAGAAGAAGAAGAAGAAGAAGAAGAAGAAGAAGAAGAAGAAGAAGAAGAAGAAGAAGAAGAAGAAGAAGAAGAAATCAGTGCAATCATCCCCAAGTGATGATGATGAATTGGAATTCTGAGAAGCAGAAAAGAATGGGGGAGAATGGAACTGGCCAATTTTGGACAACGTGCAATAAATGTTTTGATGTGTCTGTGTCTGAAAAAAGACGATGGTTCACTGCTTTTGTAGCTTTCTTCACAAAAGGGTATCATCATGTTTTGATGGGACATACACATAGGGGGCGGTACCATAGTCAGTTTGCAGATAAAACCTACATAAAACGTTGAACTTCTTAACAAATACAATCACGTTTTTTTACTGCAGAATAGAGCAAATTGGAGATACGTTGGCCAAGTTTGGGTGAACCTAAAAGAAACAGAATCGTCATACTTTCAAAGTAGAAAGAAAGAGATACAGATGGGAGTTTGGGGGGAGTGGGAATAAGGGGGGCGAGAGAGAGTTCATAGGGAGAGTCCG